AAAGAATTTTCTCTATTCATTGTGCTTTAACCTTTTTATACTATAAGTGCAGCATCAGATGGGAACAATTTTAAGAATTCCTTGCCAGCACCACTTCACCTGCTACCGTCAAGCCCTTTTGATGAAAAATCATTAGAAAATTACCTGATCGTGCATCGGGGACACTTCAACATATTGATATGGATTGCTGGAAAAGCCACCAAAGACATCTGTGAAACCTTCTGAGATAGGGTTAAAGTAGCCACAATCCATGTAATGCAATTCTAGCTGCTGCTGCTGATTCTCGCTCATTCCTGTTACCAAAAACTAATTTCCCATATACAATCCAGCCAACCAGAAAAATCTTTAATATAAAATACTAGAAAGCAAAAAAACAGCTCGGTAGTATTCAATCAACTCTTGTACATTACAGAATTTCGCGATGAGGAAATCTTCAACTGAGAACTATATGTATAGGTGCGGCAAGGGAAACAAAAAAAGGCGGATTATTTCAGAAAAAATGTTAAGGGCAAAGGCACGCAGTACAACATACATTATGCTCTCATGCAAATTTCCTGCTCAAAAATCGGGGTAGCAGTTAACGAAACCAATAAGCTCCATTAAAATTGATGTACAACAGAGAGATGCAAGCGTAAACACATGTACCTTCGCCTCTGGTGAAAAATAAAAATTAAGATTGATAGTTTTTCTTCCGGAATTGGAGAACAAATCCGAGCATATTCACGGAGTTGTGGTGTTGGTGTGTGTATCCGCTTTGTCTCTGTAAAGTCTGAACTTCTGCAGCAGTCTGCTCTGCTTTGCTTGAGGCGCTTATGCCGGACTTGAGATACACGCCATCACCACATAAATATTTTTACCTCTTCCTTGTGACATCTCTACAACTTCTATTCAATAATATTTATATCGATATTCTCAAAACTTTTGACTGAAAATAGGGAAAAATACGATTACATTTTTTTTTTCGAAAAAATAAATTAGTTAGGCTCAGAAAAGCGTGTTTGGATGCATATATATGTGTTCAAAACGATATTTTTTATTAATTACAGTTAACTTTAGAAAATTTGGTATGGTTAAAGACATGTTTGATACAAATATATCTGCTAAAAATGTATTTTTTGTTAATTAGAGTTAAATTTAAAAAGTTGGTAATGTTAGTTTTTTTTTTTTCCAAAACGACAGATTATATTATAAATCAAAATGCACAAATGTGCGAATACACAGCAGCCAACAACTGAAAAAGTGAGAGGACAAGTCAGAAAACCGCGTAGAGTCTCGACTTGCAACCCTAGAATAAAGCTCACAACTAAAACTAACCAATTAAAACTAACAACAACTAAAACGACCCAACAGAGTAATACCCAACAGAGTAACAACAACTAAAACAACTAAAAGTTGGTAATGTTAGTTGTTATTGAGATTTCGAATATATAGTAAAATAATATTTAAAATTAAATAATTAAATTATTTGATGTAAAAGTATGAAACAAATAATAATGATATGAAGTGATGATCAACAAAAATATATGAGTTGATGAATAATGAATTAAAGTTTGTGTGATGTGTAAGAATGATTGATTGATATTATTCAATTATGTTGATAATATTGGGGATAGCGGGATTAGTTTAAATTTTAATTAGATTTTGAGCATGCATTGAGATAATTTATAAACAAACACACCCTAAGTTTTTTCACACCGCCAAATTATAAGTTAACTTTTTTCACCCTGCAAGCTACGAAACAAATTATGCGGTAAATTATACGATAGAAAGAGAAAGATAATTGATAAAATGCGAAAATATTGATAAAGCGAAAAGCAAAAATATTGATAAACTATGCTACAGACAGACGAAAAGCTGTGCGACAAACATGTGAATATAATTGATAAAGTGCGAAAATATTGTGCAATAAACTATGTGACAGACACACAAAGATAATTGATAAAGTGCGAAAACATTATGCGACAGACCGGCGAAGATAATTTATATAGTGCCAAATATTTATCCGATAAGATATGCGGAGATAGATGACGATAATTTATAAAGTGCAAAATATTTATCTGATGAGCTATGCGGCAGACAAATGAAGATAATTGATACAATATGTGATAAACTATGCGACATAAAGGTGATGAAGTGTGAATATTTATACGATAAACTATGCGACATAAAGGCGAAGATTATAAAGTACAAAATATTTATGTGATAAACTATGTGGCACACAGAGGAAGTTCACTGCGCAAGTGTGAAACAAATTATGTGATAAAGTATGCAACTAACAAGCGAAGATAATATATAAAGTGCGAAATATTTATGCGATAAACTATGCGACAGACATACCAAGTTCATTGAACAAGTGCGAAACAAATTATGCGATAAAGTATGCGTCTTGAAAAATCTATTTGGAAAATGGACATTTGACTAAAGTGAGTGCAATTGCATGTTGTCTCATTTGTTGAAATGTTGATAACTTTCTGTTATGTTGTTTCACTATTTTTCGAGCATCATTGAGCTATTATAGAATTATAGGATGAAAAAATTATGTCTTCTATTTGGTTTTGTTCATTTTTATTTTATATGATTATGATGAGAAATGAACTAATAGTTTATAAAAAGTAGGTTTTATTGGGGGTGATGAACATAGCAATTTTCGATCACGAGCATAGTTGGTCGTCTTTTGGCACACAAGCGTAGTGGTTGAGAATCTTGAGATAGGCAAAAAGGATGTTTTGTGTAGGTAATGAGGCTCAAGCCAAAGTTTGACTTCACATTATAGATATATTGTCGATGTGGTTTATTATTAGGATACCATTCAATTGAGTTCTTACACAAAACTTGGTGGCCCGAATCCGACGATGGGTAACAATAGCAAATCTATATATATATAAAGAGGTTGTTGGAAAAATACATTAATAGAAAGTTTGACCAAATAAATATAATGTTTAACTTACTATTAATGGAAAGTTCAAAAAACTACATGTGAATCTTTAGTAACAAAATCTGAATCCTATTTTTTTGGTAACTAAAGTGGAGATTCTTATGGCAAAATTTGAATTCTATTTTTTTCGTATCATATTTTATTTTTTTTTACCAAAATTTAAATCATATATTTTTTGGTAACAAATTTGGAGATGCTTATGCAAAAAATGTGTCAATTATTTATGAAAACAATTCTAAATACAAATTAACTTAAAAACCGTACAAATCGGATACAAATTTTGGAAACAAATAGTTGTATAATTCTTAACCAATTATTCTAATCTTATTGAATAATTTTTTCTTTGAAAAAAAAGTGTGTAAATTGGATAAAACCACGTGCAATTTTTATTATAGAATAAAACTGATATTTGGAGGGGATGTACATTCAAAATTGTGTCCACATTTTTTGGTAACAAAAGCGGTTCATCTTTGATATATAAAAATTAAAAAAATCTTAAAATATCCTTAAATATTTATGAGATCAAGATTTGTTAGGTCTTTTTAAGATTAGTTATGATTTAAAAGAAAAAAACATTATACAAAATTTCACTCTAAATCTCACATTCACACTTAAGATTTCATAGTATTCATCTAAAATTTGATCATCTTAAAAGTCTCAAATCTTAAAAAATCTCAAAGTGGCACTCAAAATTCTAAACGAATACATATTATATACCTATATCGTCAATTTATAATTATTATCTAATATAATTTACCCGTGCATCGCACGGGCCACATACTAGTTTATTATGACATGATTGGTATAATGGAATGGAATTTTGTATCAATGAATGGAATGATTATAGGAATGGAATGAAACAAGTTTTGTCATTGATGCGTTTGGTATGCAGAATGAATAAGACTTGAATGGAATGACATTATCATTTTTTATTATAAAAATAAATAAAAGCTTTTTTTAAAAATAATATACTTTTAATAAAATATATATAAATACTTTTTTAATAATATATAAAAATAAAATAATATATTTTTAAATAATATAAAAAATAATATATATTTAATAATATATAAAAAATAATATATTTTTAAAAGTAATATATTTTTAATAAAAAATAATATATTTTTAATAATATATATTTTATTTTTAATTAAACAATAAATAAAAGTAAGTTTTCAATTTTTTATTTGAATTTTATTTTTTAAAATAATATATTTTTAATAATATTTAAAAACAAAAAGTAATATTTTTTTAATAATATATATTTTTAATATTTTTCATTAATATGTTTTTAATAATATATTTTTAACAATATATAAAAATAAAATAATATATTTTTAACAATATATAAAAATAAAATAATATATTTTTAAATTATATATAAATGCTTTTTTTAGTTTATTTTTATATAAGTATTTCTAATATATCTAATTAAAAAATAAATAAAAGTAAGTTTTTAATTTTTTTATTTGAATTTGATTTTTTAAAATAATTTTATTTAATATATTTTAATAATAATTTATAATATATATTATATATTTATTTTTTTATTATTATTTGTTAATTTTATTTTTTGAAAAATTGATTCCTACACACATGGGAATGAGAAATCCTTCCATTTACTATGGAATGGCTAATCCCATGGAGATGTGTTTTGGCATTCCCATTGGAATGCTCATTCATTTCCAAAAAATATACCAATTATGGGATAAAGAATATGTAAGAGAATGATCATTCAATTCTCATGTTATTCTTTCTTTTCAATCATGTCATTAGTTTTAGTATCGGGAATATTTTGTTTGTATTACTTATTTTAAACTTTTCACTAGTTTTTATATTTTTTTGTCGCGCACACAATTTAATAACGATGATTCACTTTAATGCTTTCCAAATTCACCACATACCAAATATATCTTCACCAGTCATGTTTGCATTAGTATTTCTTTATAAATCAACAACAGATTTTTCTAACATGATGTATAATCTAGCAGTATTAATTACAATATTAATTAAAATAAAAATTAGGTCCGAATGTGGGCACAACATTAATCCAAGTAGTTTGATGAGGGGGTGAACATTCGGTCGAAACCGAACCGAATCGACTGAATTTTCGGTTAACCAAAATTCGGTTTATCCCTTATTCAAACTCAAATTTTTAGTTCAGTTGAAATTTTAATTGAAAATCTATCGGTCGGTTCAGTTAGGTTATCAGTTAACCAAACATATGTCAAAAGATTTGAAACCAAAACCCATCAAGTGAAATAACAACATTCATTAAGTGAACCTTCATTGAATCTGAAAATCGCAGCCCTAATGAAGCAGGATGTCAACAATTTGGAACCCACAATTAAATAACACGATCACCTGGTAAAAGAAAAAAGAGAGCAATCGATAAAGAAGATGAGAGCTTGAATTGGTTCAATTGAAATTTACCAAATTGGTTTAATCAAAATAGGGCTTTGCTGGATTGGTTCAATTGAAACACGACCTTGAACCCGAGGAGCATCTCGTACGAAGGGATTTGGATGGCGAACTAATTGATGGAGTTCCATTGATTTGAGAAGACGAGCCTTCGAGAGCCTTGTACGGCTTTGTCGATTTGGGTGTGTGTCGGAGCGCGAGAGGCAAGCACCGAGCATGGCGGGCTGAGTGTGAGGAGTTGTGACTTGTGACTAAGTACATTATACATAGGTTCATTTAGGAAGGAGACCAAAGATGAGGATGAAGAGCAATGCAATGGGCATGGGAGGGCTGCATTTCTATTGGCTTGCTTCAGACATGGGCCGAGTAATATTGAACTTTTATAACTTATACAAATAATTTTAGTTTTCAGTTTTGTTTGGTTAACCGAGCACATGTATCCTAATCGAACAGAAAACTAAAATTTTAAAAAATTATAAATAAAAAACCGACTTAAATATTTGATTTCAATTTCGATCTAAATTGAATTTTTAATTTTGGTCAATTCGATTCGATTAATTGTATTGTATGCACCCTAGTTTGATAGATAAATAGATTTTTTATATTTTACCCACTATAAAAAGCAACGCAGCCAAATTATGCCACGTACCCTGACACTCGGACCTTTCTAAACAAAATGAAATAGTAATCGCAAGCCGCAATCGCTCGCCTTCACCATCAAAATCCAATGTGCGCATCACATGCCAATACTTTACGCGCTTTCAAATTTCAATTGGCTTAAAAAATAAGTAATAATATTAATACGTTGCCACTTCGCTTCAACCACTGAGCTGACGAAAAGCGTCGCTGGACCAGGTGGACCGCGAACACTGAATAACCAGCTCTCGCATTATTTTACTGCAGGAAATCTTCGCTATCTGCTTTTCATTTGGATTGCAAAACTACCTGCTTTTTCTTCTCTGCATTTTCCTGTTCGTCTCTAGGGTTAGTATGCTCTCCCCTCCTCTCTCTCTCTATATATATATATATATTTCTATAATTCCGATTGTTCGAGGGCTATAAATTGCTTCTCGATTATAGTATTCTCTGTGTCCACTTATTTATTTATTCATTTGGTTGTTTTTTTGTTGTATCTGTAATTTGTTCTGGTGTGATTATTAGGGGATTAGAGGTAGAATCTCTGACAAAAATACACTTCTGTCTATCCTCCACGAACAGGTGCGTTTTCATCTCTTAATTGTTTACTTTTCGTATCACAACGGTTAATAAAGCTCTTATTGAATACACTGAAACCAATCGGAAGTTATACTAGTAGAATATATTCGTGAGGCTCTGTTCCTCAAGTGATTCAAATTTTGCATTCTTGATGTGTTATGTTCTTGGGTCTCTTACAATGAATTCAATATAACTTCTTCTTTTTTATTTTTTTATCAGTTAATTATTGTGAATAGATTGTTCTATTTGTGTCTTGTTCTGAATTTATAGGTAAATTTGTACTGAAATCTAAGATAGGGGCTAAAAGAAGCTGATAAGCACTTAATCCTCTCATTTGTGAAGGACATTTTGAAGTTCTTTAGGTTCAACAAATGGTGAAATGAAGTTATTTTCTGCAGGACTTGTGTATATATTACATACTCATTTAAAGGTTGAAACTTTTTTGTATATATTGTGCACTTTTGATATGGAAGAATGATCTGGTTTCTTGATAGCTAATGAAGTCAGTTTCACAACAGTGAGAGTGTAACTTTCTGGATAGGTTTCCAAGTTTTGCACAAATTCATGCAAAATATGTTCCTGGGGATATTAACATGCTTCGGCCTCTATAACAATCTCTCCATCTTCACTTCAATTATTATAGAGGATCTTTACGTTATAATGTGAAGGCAGTTGTATTGCAGTTCAGTAACATATTTGTTAACACGCTAGATATACAAACGTGTATCTTGATCAAACTGGGGAGGTGGAATCAAGTTGAATGAAGGCAATGTGGAATTTAGACAGAGTGCAAGTAACTTACGTTTAGAACATAAAATAAGAACATTGAAAATGGAAGCAGAGTAGCGGAGAAGAACTTGAGAGAAGCACATAAAATGAACATTACTATGGTCCGTGAATAGAGATGTTAAATGGTCCTTGGCCTGATTGGCCGGCCCGTTTAGCCAGGAAAAAAACAGGGTTAGGGCCTTTTATTGGCAGCCCGTTTAAATTCGGGCTTTTTAGGCCCGGACCGTTTAGCTCGAAGCTCGCTAGGGCTAGCCCGTTTAACTTGGGTTGGGTGGTGTATATGTTTTTAGAAAGGTAAGGAATATGTCTCATAATTCCTTGTATATTACAATTTTGCTATTTTACTTCACATGTAATTATGAGTTATAATGTATTCTTATTATTTTGATACATAATTTTTTACAAATTTTATTCTATTTCACACAAAATATTTAAGTCAATTAGAACGGCGAATAAAAAACAAATGAGACAAAAACTTAACACATAGAATATAGTGATAGAATATAAATTCAACAAATTGTGAAAATTCCCGAAGCATACCAAATAACTAGTCAAATGGTAGTTATAAGTAATAATTCGAATATTTATTTTTTCTATTGAGAAAAAATATGTTATTTAAGAGTTTGTAATATAGTGGTAAATACTAAATAGCCGTTGAAAAAAATCGTTAACTATGTGTTGTAATTTATTATTATTATTATTATTATTATTATAGCCCGTTTAGCCCGAAGCCTGCTAGGTTTAAGGTTAGGTCCTTTTATTGGTAGCCCGTTTAAATCTGGGTTTTTTAGGCCCGGACCGTTTAGCCGAAGCTCGCTAGGACTAGCCCGAAACTGCTAGGGCTAGCCCGTTTAACATCTCTATCCGTGAATCTGGATGCTGATGTTTTATCAGCGTATTCGACTCCTCAAGAATATGAAGTCAAACTTTCCGTGCACTTTTTCTTTTAAATCATTGTATGATCTACATAGAAAGAGTTAGGCTATTTATGCCTTGGCCAAACTAATTCTAAAAGAATAAAAATGCTGGAATCGGGCAGATGCACACCTGATCTCTATATTGTTGTACACCTATAATTTCTTTCATTTTACAAATGTGTTCCTTCCTATCCTAGAGGCCAATCATTTTAGAATGCAAATTTATCTACGAATAGATTCACTGAGAGAAATCATTGCCTTCTGAACTTATCTCTTCATTATATGAATTTAGTTTCTGAAATTAATTTTGGCCTTTTTACTTTTCAAGTTACAATTCAAAGAACATGCTTCCTTAAGAATAATATTAGCTCCAGGTTTGCAATCAAGACGAGTTCCAGAAAAGGGGTACAACACTCTTCCTTTTTTGTTACTTTGGAATAAAATATTCTTTCATTTAGCTCGCAGGGAATTTGCATGGTATTGTCAAACCAAAATGATTAATCATTTTAGTTAATTAGAATAAGGCATGCATGGTATAGTTGACATAAATTTACATGGTCAGCAATATTAGGCAAGTTACTCTGTTATAATCGGTCAAACGTGTTTATGCACGTTTTCATCGCAGGAAAAGCTAAAATGGAGCAGAATGAAAGCGGGTGTGAGCAGCCTCAAGCTCCGGCACTTTGCGTCAACAACTGTGGCTTTTTTGGAACAGCTGCAACCATGAACATGTGCTCCAAGTGCTACAAAGACCTCTTCTTAAAGCAAGAGCAAGCCAAACTTGCCGCCTCATCTTTCCAGAGTATCGTGAACGGGAGCTCGTCAACCGTTACTGAAAAGGATTCAATTATCCCAGAAAAAATCGAACCAGACGTTCCCAAATCGGAGATTGTGGGCCCACAAGCACCCTCTGCACTGCCCACAGTTGACGAAAACGAGGAAGTCAAAAAAGGTCCAAATAGATGCGGCATGTGCAGGAAGCGTGTGGGCTTGACGGGCTTCACCTGTAGGTGTGGTAATATTTTCTGTTCTGTTCATAGGTACTCAGACAAACACGAGTGCACGTTTGACTATCGTTCGGCTGGCCAAGAAGCCATAGCTAAGGCTAACCCAGTTGTGAAGGCAGATAAAATCAACAAGATATGATGGAATTACTGAAGTTGTGGCCAGAGTGTGATGGAATTCGGTGGAACTTGGCTTGTAATGCTTTCCATATGCTTGCCTCCAGGTGGTTTGATGCAGTGTTCAAGTGGCAGTATGAACTCTATTGGAATCTAAGAATGTAACATTATGTGGTGTTTAATGCTTGTTTGAAGGTGTGGTTTGATGGTTATTCCTCTCTGGTGTTCTTTTTGTATTCTGACTTTTTGTTGTGGATGATTTTCTTTATATCTAGCAATGATTGTCTTCTAAATAATATTATATTAATATATATTATAAAAAATATGATAATAAAATAATGTAATTATTATTTAAAAAATATAAAAAAAATTGAAAATTTGAAAATTACTGCCAAGACCGCTTAGGAAGCTGGCTTGGCCTATTTTTCGGACTGATATATGCAAATCGGATGTGGCAGGGTGGCGTCGTGATGGCCACCTAGGCCTAGGTTTTTAGTATATAGATGATTTATATAATTAAATATATTTTTGTTTTTTGCAGGTGGAAGTATATATTGAAAAAACTGACTTGATATTTTTAGTTTTGTTTGCTAAATTATTTAATTTTGGAATTTTGGAATCTAAGTTACTGTACAAATCAATTCTATCGTATTTATAACATAAGGAAATTAAAAAAAAAAAAAGTATAATATCAATTTTCCGTGTTAGTACAACAACAAATGATTTAAATTTAAGTGCAAAATAAAATAANAAAGTGACAAAGAGGTGGTTAAGAAAAAAAAAAAAAGTGATTTGTAACTCAATTTGGAGGAAAAGTGAAATAATTTTATTGATTGATTTTCTCCTCTTTATATAGATAAATAGATAGATAGATATATTTGCATTTCAGATATTAACGACCCAAAGTTCCACAAATCAATATCAATATCAATATCAATATTAATATCAATATCAATATATATTGGAAGAGGTTGATGGAATAACTTAAAATAACAACTTTGACTTTGTAATTAAATATGTTGACTTCCTGTTAAAGAAAATATTGAGAAATTTAATTTAATATTTAAACAAAAATGAAAATCAAATTATACGGACTTGTGTAAATCGTACAATTCAGTTAATAGCACAACTTTTTATATAAATAAAGTGGTATTCATTTTGAAAATTATTTTAGGATAATTATCACAATAAAAATTCTTCATATCTTATAATTTCTTATTTTTTAGGTAACCAACCATACAACATGTTTTCACAAAAAACATATATTAATTATGTTTTTTGAGAAAATTATTTGAATATGCACGATAAAATTACAAATATAATTACAAAATAAAAATTAAAAATCAGTTATGAAAATTTTATTATGATATTTATTTCAACTTTACAATAGAATCTTATTTATCAAATGGTCAAACTATAAAACTATTATTATAAGTTTTTGTATATTTTCGTGTAACATATTATTTACATAAACCAAAATATTAAATAAACATATTGAAATATTAATTATAGTTTGATTAATTATAAATTTGACCCATGAATTAAATTGTAATATATTATTTTTTTTTTAAATTGCAATCAAGTCCTTATTACTTATCAAATTCACAAAATGCATCCCCTAAAATAACAATATGAAAATCACGATCGTCTCACAAGCCAAAGTCATCTTTGTCGCTGCCGACCACGTGACCGTCGTCGACCACCGTCTCACAAGCCTCAGTCATATTCGCTGCCATCATCGCTTCCACCGGGATAGCATTTTTTTTTTTTTTAAATTTCGGATTGCATCTACCCAGTTTTCGGGCGTTCTCGACGACGGTAGCATTCTCAAAGACATGACATAAAGACGTGCGTTCGTCGTATATTGTTTCTCGATGGAGGTCACGACGTCTGGCGGGAGACGCGTCAGCGAGATTACGACTGTGTTACATGGAGAGGCCGTGCCATGAAGCAGCAACCACTCTTGCCTGCGTGAAGCATGGGACGGAGGGTGACGGTGGCTATTTCTGGAAGCTCGTCGTTCGTGCTTGTGTCCGGCAGAGGCGGCGGGCTGTAGCTGACCATCATGAAACTTGGGGTGAAGGCTGATGTGAAGGCGTGGCGGCTAGAGGTAGGCGATAGGCGGCGAGCAGTGGCAGTAATATGGTTGACCGACGTGTGTGTGTATGTATGTGTGTGTTTTTTGAGTGTGTGTGACGAGAGTGTATGTGTGTGTAGTGTGTGTTTTAGGTGTAAGTATGAGAGAGGGAGTTAGTGAGTTGATGGTGGGTCTGAGGGGTGAATGAGTAATGTTTATTTTACCTCTATTGAAAGGTCAAATGTATACATTTTACTAAGAAATATACACTTATTTACAAAATTATCATTACATGTTTGATTGTCATATTTAAAATTTGACTTGATCATGACCATTAATATTTTGAATCTAATGGTACATATTTATTCTTATTTCTTTCACAATCCTTCTTTTTTCTCATATGATCCTACCTCTCTCTTTCTCTTTCTTTTTCTCTCTCTATATATATGTATATTATTAGTCAAATAACTATGTAGTATTCTATAATATTAATAAATAAATACATGATCATCTGAGTTCGTAACAAAAGGCATTTTGTCCTCAAGTTTAATGTTTTAAAGATTTAAGAAACCCATAAGGCTAGATGAAAATTCGGAGTTGGTTGCGTGTTGTATGAGGTGCAAAGTCAATATCCTTCCCAAGGAATTGGACTAGAAGGTTGTAACTGGAGCACGATGCTGAAACTTTCAGTATTACACTAACAACTTTCACAAATATGAGATAAACATAATGCCATGCACCACCATATCCACTACTGGAATCTCTTTTTCCGTAAGCAATAGCAGTTTATTACATCCGAGAATTCACGAGGCCAAATAGAAATGTTATTATTAATTAATAACCAGGAGCAAAATGCCTAATTATAACAACAAATAAATATTTAACAAGTGGTGTGAAGGTTGACAAGGGAGGAGTAGAGACCATCTTTGATACCGATAAGGGCATTGTGATTCCCTTTCTCTACAATGCTTCCATTTTTAAATACAGCAATCACATCCGCTCCCCTTATTGTTGATAGCCTATGCGCAATGACAATTGTGGTCCTGTTCAACATGACTTTGTCGAGTGCTTCCTCGACTATTTTCTCAGACTCGACATCCAATGCACTTGTAGCCTCATCTAATAGTAGTATCTTTGGGCTCTTCAAGATGGCTCGAGCAATAGCCACCCGTTGCTTTTGGCCGCCCGATAGCTGGACCCCACGTTCTCCAACCATTGTGTCATACCCCTGCGTGCCACCATAATTAGTTCCAAAATCTCGATAATGTATGAATTTTGAGATTTTTATACCTGCTGCAATCCACAAATGAATTGGTGTGCATTGGCTAACTTTGCAGCCGCTATAATTTCAGACTCAGTCGCATTTTCTACCTTTCCACTGGCGATGTTGGCTTGGATGGTGTTGTTAAACAAGATGGGCTCTTGGCTAACAAGGCCCATCTGCTGCCTCAGCCATTTCACCGGGAACTTGTTTATTTCAATTCCATCGAGCAAAATACGACCAGAATCAGGATCATAAAATCTTTCAAGTAATGAGATCACCGTTGATTTCCCGCTTCCGCTCTCCCCAACTAAAGCAACTACCTGAAAGAATTAGGCCAACACTATACTTTCACATTCCCAACCAAACGATTCTCAAAACCCTTCAACCAAATAAAACACACATATAGAAAATGGATCAAATGAGAACCAATTCTTGGCATGAAACTGATAACTGAGATAATACACGCAAAATGAAATGTGACTTTTTTTTTTTTTTACCTTGCCACTGTTAATAGTCAAAGAGAGATCTCTCAGGATCTGAATGCTTGGACGAGTGGGATAGCTGAAGTTGACTCGGTCAAACTCAATTTCACCGACGACGCATTCTAAAGTAATGCCCGACTCATCACTAGGATCAACCTTGGATTTTCTATCAAGAATTGCAAACACAGAGGCGACTGCATTTTTTGCTTTGCTCCAATCTGGAGCAAATGATGATGTTGAGGATATAGCAAATGCCACCGTGGCCAAAGCATAAAACACCTGCACATTTCATTTTTATCGTTAGTCTAAAATATTATTATTCATATCCCACAGAAGAAAATTGTACGCTCACACGAAAGACATCAGAACTGGTTGCTTTTCCATCCTGAAAGAGACGTGCTCCCGCGTAGAAGATGGTGGCGAAGACTGAGTAGAACAAACATATGGACAAACCAAAACCTATTCCATTAATCAACCCTTGTTTGGCCCCGTTCAAGGCCGGTTGTTTGCATTTCTTATTGTACGTCGCTCTAACCTTCTCTTGGGCACAAAACGAGGCAACCGTTCTTATATTGGTAACGGCTTCATTAGCAACTTGACTTGCTTCCTCATACATCAGCTGCAACCAATTTCATAGAATTGGAAAGTATACCAAATGGACTAATTAAAATAAATAAATAAATTATGTTTCCTCTCAGATTATTCAGTTTAAATATTTCTGGGATTATCTCATTTTATTCTTAGATTTTGTCCAAAATGCACAAAAAACCCCCCAACAAATGGGAAAATTATATAATAAAGAACACGTGAGGTTACACTTTTTGTCAAATTCATTAAATGAAATAGTTGTCATCATTAATAAATTACAAAGGCATCCCTGGTTCTTAACATGTCACAAACAATACCTACTTTCGTCTTCCATTTACCCAACTTGCGTTCACAAATAATTTAAACTAGCCAGATGAAAAATTTAGGCTTCTTGCAACATTTTAAAAAGTTGAGCAATGTAAATATAACACAACATGGGAAATTCCTTCAGCATAATTAATACTTGGACCAAAATATACGACGCAATCAAGTCCTAAAGGATAAAATTTATAATTTACAAAGTTAACTACGCATTTTTTGAAAATATACACAACCTCAAGGGTACTTTTAAACTTTATCCAGTTTTTGCTTTATTTTAAGAACCCTTAACATCTCTATTTGAAAAAGAAAAAGAAAAAAAAAAGGAGTCCTAGGTTTAGAAAACAAATACCTTAGCATCTCTACTGAAACCCCTCACTGATCTCATCTGAACATATCCATTGAAAATTAACAGTGGTATTGTTGCAAAAACAATAAGAGCTAGTTGCCAGCTGGCCGCACAAGCTATTCCCAGCCCCACCACAACAGAAGCCAGACCCTGAACGAGCTCTGCTAGAAAATCCCCAACCAGAGACCGAATAAGATATGCATCGGTTGATAGTCGTGCCCCTATCGCTCCGCTCGAGTTCTCCCATCTATCAAACCACTCTATCTCCATGTTAACTATCTTCTCAAAACACATCACTCTAACTCTCTTTATCAGTTTCATCCCGGCCACGCTGAATAGATACGTCATGGATGGGTACACTATAACGTGTATTGCTCCGAGGAATACAAACATCAGAGCCCAAAACACCGAGTCCTTTTTCAACTGGTGTGGCAGCTCGTTGTATGTTTTGATCGAGCTTGAGAGTAATAAGCCATATACCGGATGTATTGCCCCATAAATACTGGCAAATACGGCTCCAACTACTAGTGCTGCTGCCTCAGGTCGGTTGAGATAAGCTAGCCGGTACATTGGAAGTTTCTCTGACGGCTCATTACAAATGCTCCTTTCCTTGGGTACATAAGATGTTGTTTGACTATACAGTATGTTGTCGGGTTGTGTCATGATGATATTCGCATCTTGTTTTCCTTCCTCATTTTTGTTTATTTCTTGAGAGTTTATGAGGTTTGAGTACACTCCCTGAGGATCACTGAGTAGTTCCAAGTGTGTTCCTGAAAGTTTGAATGGTGTATGTAGCTGATGAGTAGTGACAATTGAGTTACCTTGTGGTCTAAAAATTGCGATGAACCTAAATACTGAAAAAAGCCCCAAATATTTGTTAAGTTGTGTTTTTCCTTCAATGTATGATGAACCTAGCTTCAAGGGTAGTTTTTGTAGTTTTAAAAATTAGATTCTCTTCAAAAAGAAGTGCACACTTGATGCTTATTTATGTAATTATCCCATACTTTAAGACATAAGTTCAGCACAGGCACGACATATGCAAATTTTTACTTCTACCTCGCTCAACAATTTTTCCTTGGTAAAGGACAGCAATCATATCGGCATTTCTAATGGTGCTGAGTCGGTGTGCGACTATAAGTGTTGTTCGGTTCACCATTGCCTTCTCCAGAGCCCCCTGCACAATCCTCTCAGACTCAATATCTAATGCACTTGTTGCCTCGTCCAGAAGTAGAATTCTTGGGTCTTTTAAAATTGCTCGTGCTATAGCTACCCTTTGTTTCTGTCCACCAGAAAGTTGAACCCCATTCTCCCCTACCACAGTATCAAACCCCTACATGAATCGATAATTTTTTGGTAAAACAAAAATTTCCCATTCATATAATACGATCCTGAAAACCACGCATGTATTTCCAGAAAAAAGTTTTTCTAGCCGATTTGATGAAAAGATGACTCAAGATTCAACCGGTCAAAACCAAACCTGTGGTAGCTTGGAAATTAAATCATAAGCATTTGCTGATAATGCGGCATCATTAATCTCTTCAAGACTCGCTCCATCTTTCCCATATCCAATGTTGTCCCTGATGCTTCCTGCAAAAAGCACGGGCTCTTGGCTGACTAGGCCTATTTTCGACCTAATCCACTTGATTTGGATTTCTCTGAGATCAACATCATCGATCAACACTTGACCGCCAAGCGGTTCATAAAATCTCTCGATCAAGCCAATCACAGTGGACTTCCCACTTCCGCTGTTTCCAACCAAAGCCGTAGTTGAGCCACTGGGAATGAATAGGCAAAATCCAGTAAAAATTTGTTCTTTTGGTCGTGATGGATAGCTAAAACATACATCTCTCAGTTCTATGTCCCCACGAATGTCGTCGAGTATTTTTCCTTTGTTGTCGTATGCATCTATGGTTGGTTTTCTATTCATCGTCTCAAACATCTTGGCTGCAGCCGCCTGGGCAGTGGCAAATGCGGCTAGTGATGGAGCTCCTTGGCCTAGAATACTGGAATTTGTTTGGATAGTTACAAAATTGTACTTGAGTAAAAAATAATAACTAAATATAGGAATTTATATTAGCCGTCCTTGAACTTTCATTCCGTGATTACATTTATCAATTGATGAAACTTGTTGCCATCATCAAATAACTTCACCACCCTTAAATTTTGAAAAGAATATTACAAGTAGCCCAAATGTTTCTTTGGCAATTAATATTAGCTAGAAAAAATTTGAAGGATTTTTTTTCCAAAAAAAATTGAAAATCAAGGGATGTAAACATATTATAAACAACAAAAGGTCGAGTGTTTTTCCGTAGTATCTAAAACTTTTGAGATACGTAACTGTAGACATTTTTAACGATGCACTACAATTTCCTAACTCCACGACATGTACAAGATTCAAAAATGTTTAAGTTAAAGGTTGTTTTTGGTAGTTACTATGATTTTATTTTGGTTCTCTCTCTCTCTCTCTCTCTCTCTCTCTCTCTCTCTCTCTCTTTCTTTTCATTTCTTCAATTTGGCCACACCTCAAAGGTGCTACTTGTTAGTTATCCATTTTTGTGAGGAGGAATTCAAGAAAAATATTTGCTGGCAAGACTTACTTGGAACCTATAATAACTGCAAGTAGAATGGTAAACACTTGACCACCTGTATAACCTTCTTGCAACACCATTTTCGCACCAACCCAGACGCCCAACCCAAAATTCCATAGCACGATAAGTCGGACGAATCCAGTACCAAAACCTGCGCTCGTCCCTGCTACTACATCGGATTTGTAAGAGCTCTTGAGGAACTTCTTGTACTCACTCATAACTTTGTTTTCCCCAGTTAATGATGCGACCTGAGCACATTCACAATAATATCATTTAGTGAGTTTTCAACAAAAAAGTCTGCTTCAGATGTAGCAATTCATGTCTAATCAGAAGCCAAATCTCACATACCTATGCTATAAGTACAAAGTACAATCATATTAAGCCAAAAACTGAAAATTACTTTAAAAAAAAAACAAAAAAAAAAAAAAAAAAAATGCATGCAAAATGTAGAGGTCTTTGCTCAACATGGGCTCAGTAACTCACTGTTCTAATGGATCCAACTGCTTGTTGGACAACGTTGGCGGCACCAACATATGCATTTTGTATCTTTTTAGCCATTTTTGATCTGATAAAGTATGTCATCCCACTAGACATGACAATGAAAGGAATAATCGGCAGCATCACTAGCGAAAGACGCCACCCTTTTGTGAATGCAATCACGAAGCCTCCAACAAATACCGTGACAACCTGGATGAGTTTTCCCACCTACACATCACAGTATGTGTAACGAGGAAGTACGTTATAAAGGATATACAAAACAATGAACATAAAGATATAAACCGGTAAAAAAAAAATCACCTTCTCGCCAATGGCATCTTGAATTAGAATAGTATCACCCGACATCCGTCCAATTACTTCCCCAGTACTTACTTCTCGATCAAAGTAAGCAATATCTTGTTGCAGTATAGTTGTAAGATAAAGGCTTCTAATTCTTGTTGTCTGTCTTTCCCCAGTAATCATCCAGCAAGCCACCTCTATTGGTTTTTTTTTATATATAATCAAAATTCATTGTCATGTTTTATAGAGGGTTTAAAACTTATGACGAAAAAATTATTTTTGCTCAAGAATAATAACGTTTCTCCAGAACTTACGAAGAAATGCTGCTGTACCACACCCCAAGGCCAAGTAAATGTATTTAAGCACTACCTATTATAACAAATTTAAAATAACAACGTGGGATTGAATTTGCGTCAGAGAAGAACCTTTTACCCATAAAAATTATGAAACCCATTACCGTTCTAATATCATAATTATATGAATTTCTACAGTTTTATATTTACATACCTTTGATACTTCCGATACAATAGAGTCCTTGTTTGCTTTACCAAAGACATCTATTAATTCACCAAAAATGAGGGTCATTAGGGGTTGTGCAAGCCCACTTCCAATGGCACCGATTGTACCTACTATCATCAGAATTTTATCCCATGAATCAGCAAAAGTAAACAACTTGTAAAATGGAATAGTGTTATTTGGCTCCTTCGCTTTTCCTGCAACAGTACTTATCCCAGGTTCTGTGTCCGAAACACTGCTTTTTAATATGAAGTCTCGAATTGTGCCCATGTTTACGAATCTTGAATTCTTGAATGCTCTGTCAAAACTGTTGAAAAGTACTGTGTAACATTTATGTATGTATTTATTTTTACAAATTTTAGCTAGCAGGTGCAACTTCTAGTGTCAACATGATCTTTCAAATATGTTTTGAAAAACCAAATAGAAAACAAAAGTTGCAGAATTGAGTGGTATGACTTTGTCACTGGATATGCACAAAAATATAAAGAGCAAAAAATGGCATATCAGGAAGCTACAACGAGATACTAAGATAAAAGTACAACCTATATTTGAAAATCTCCAAGAAAGCATGGCCACGTTGTTGCCCCTCTCAAACAACAAATGACCATGGTCATCTAAAAGTGGAACATCCCGTAAAGTTAAAATTCAATTTAATAATAACAATAAAATAGAACTAGAAATNTTCTTATATTGAAATTAGATTCACTATGATCAAAATACATGTTCAAAGTTCCATTCTAATTTATTTTTCTATTATATGAAGCTTTGTATAGTTCCAAAGGTAGAAAAACATATATAAAAAAAATTACAGATGTAGTAGCTTTTGTGCCAGTGGAATAGAGTAGTTTGTATAGGAGCTTTAGAGAAGTAGTTAGGCATAATATTACTATAGGAGAAATTTTAGGAAACATTAATTTCCATACTTGATCTACTTCTTAAATTTTGTAGTAACTATCCTATTTTTTCGCCATGAGGGAGTTAGGGTAGGCTAGATGAGATGAAGTACTTTCATAAGTACTAAGTGTCATAAAATGTGATTTGGCAGGGCAATTGAAGCTTATAGCATACAAGCATATTCCTCGCTCCACTATGTTTGCTTTTAGTGTATCCTTTTTTCTTTTTTTTTTTGGTTTTATAAACTGGCGTTCATTATATTCAAAGTTCTCAAGCATTCATTAGGAACCTAACTTCAATTCCATATGAGCAACCAATCTAAATCTTTAAGACTAGGTATCCTCTGTAACTTTTTAAACACGAATAGTGTTACTTACATTTCCTGTTATACAAGAAAATCATTCAACCCACATAAAAATAGCATGATGTAACTAGTTAGCATCATTCCGCACACATAAAAATAGGGAAGAGATTGTACCCAAAAAAAAAATAGGGAAAAGAAAATCATGCACTCTTGATCACCTGTGACATGCTGAAGCTGGAAGCTCTTCTTCTGAAAAAATTTCTCTTGCCATTGTGATCTTGAACCATTCAGGAACCTTGAAAAGCTACTGAATCAAGTGCCTTTGCATGTATACAAACTTCATAATGATAGGAACAAGAGCAACACAACAACTCTAGGGAGACTTGGGAACTTTTTTAACCTGAACAATATGATTCTTTCTCAAGCCCAAGTTTTTGCCAATCTTCCACAATGAGCTGTGGGGATCATCATCATCCGAATAATCATTGTTTTCGGGGAAGTGTTTCTCCAACATATCATAGTAAGGGGCAGAATTTATTTTTTGAAACGAGCATGAAGTCGCTTTGTGTTGAATGCTTCCACCTCACATTGTGTGTGTTTTACATTTGTATCCTTCCCGATAAATAGGAGAGATATAATCAACGACATAGAGCGCCACCCAATGATTACTCGGATGGTTGTCACAATGGTCATGACAAGAGATATTAAATTGTTCAGGAACTGTCAGAAGCCAGTTTACAAAGGCTAACGCAAATTGTGCTTCTGCTCAGATAGAGGACCATCTTTGTGCTAAGAAACTAATAAAAATTCTTAGTAAATAATTTGAAGAAAATTTTGTAGATAGAATGCACAAAATAGTTGGATTCTGCCTGATCTACGTCACGGAGACTCATAAATATTATCAGACTAAGATAATCCTCTAATGTAAGTCAACTTATTATTTAAGAATTGCAGTTCCTCAAACTTCAAACCAAATGCACTTTCTCTTCAAACCAACAGTATTACACTAATAAATAGAACAACACAACCATAACCAACGAACAACACCAACTCATTTTTTTCTATAAGCATACAGATTATCACATCCTACATATCACCAGGCAAAAGGTCTTTAGGGATAATTCTTAGCACCTTTAAGAAAACTTCTTATTATAACACTACATAGTTTTTAATTAGTCATAGTTACGTGAAACTTAATTAACTTTTCGCCATGGTACGCTCAAGCAACTGAATTTCAGAAAAAATATATTAGCTCTGCTCACTGAAAACACATAAAAAAAGAATAAAAAGTTCGAAAACTTGATCATTGTCCTCTTATCATTTGAGAACACATCATGATTCTAGATAAGAAATTCATATACTACATGTTTGTTAAATTACATAATAATATACCAACCTACATGACATTGGCAAATTTCTGGTTCAAGAAAAAATAGTAGTTTGAAGTTTCATCATAGACGAGTACGAACCGTCATTGATGTCGGTAAGGGCATTGTGATTCCCTTTCTCCACAATGCTTCCATTTCTAAATACAGCAATTACATCCGCTCCCCTTATTGTTGATAGCCTATGTGCGACAACAATTGTGGTCCTTTTCAGCATGACTTTGTTGAGAGACTCCTGAACCATTTTCTCATACTCGGCATCCGATGTGCTTGTAGCCTCGTCTAATAGTAGTATCTTTGGACTCTTCACAATGGCTCGAGCAACGACCACCCTTTGATTTTGGCCGCCCGATAGCTGGACCCATCGCTCTCCAGCCATCGTGTCATACCCCTGCGAGCCACGATAATGAATTCCAAAATCTCGATAATGTATGAATTTGAGATTCTTATACCTGTTGCAATCCACTAATGAATTGATGTGTATTGGCCAACTTTGCAGCTGCTATAATTTCAGACCAGCGCATTCTCTCCCTTTCCACTGGCGATGTTGGCCTGAATTGTGCGTTAAACAAGACGGGCTCTTGGCTCACAAGGCCCATCTGCTGCCTCAGCCATTTCAACTCCATCCAGAGTAGGGGTGATAAACTTATTCGGGGTAAACTATTGCAGATATTAAATAAAAAATTAATATAAAAAATATTACTTTTTTAGTGCTTTTGCAACAAATATTTTTTTAAAATATATTGATGTAGGAAAGCATACGAGTAAGAAGAATAAAACGAAATCTCAATCTCAAAACATGATCAACTCAATCAATTTCGTATTTTATATTCAACTCAAGAACACAAAAGAAGATGGGTTCTTTAAATAAAACTCATAAACCATACTCTTAATTTGTCTAACAAGACAAGATCTCTTACTAAATATTTTAATATCAATAATAAGACTAGTAGTTATTATGTTACCAATTATATTAGTACGGTACTCATGCGATGCACGGGCTAGTACTATTAAAGAAAGTTAGATTTGTATAATTGGATGATTAGTCATAACGTAAAACGCATGTGTTGGAATAAAAGGAATTGTTATTTATATATTATTAAACACCTCTTAGTACGCAATATTCTTTATTTATTTTTTGTTACATCGCCCACAACTTAAAATCTTCAAACTTTTACTATTCGTGACGTGGAAAATTTCAACATACAGCTGACCGTGACTGAACACCGATTTCTCCAAAAATAGGCCAAAATGCGATAAATATTAACCCTGACTCTTGTTTATTATTATGGCGTAATAAACCATTAGTGGAAAACACATTAGCCTAAGAAAGCCTTAAATATTTAACATTTTCTAACTCATACAAAATTATTTAGAAAAAATATCAGAAACAAATATATTAATACCTAAAGAGTTTATAATTTGACGGATGTAAAATGAAATTCCAAAGATAAATGTGCGAAACATACACAAGATGATTTTGTTAACTATAATTTGATTTGTTATAATTATTTATAAATAATGAACATAAGATATTTATAAAACATTACACTAACCAATCTATATAAACAATTGGACTAAAGTAAATGGACAAATTAATGACCCATTATTCATATAACATTATTGGCATTATATATTACATTTAAAAGCCTATTTAAAATGGGCCAACTGATTAAAAAAATTTAAGGCCTAGATGGACAACAACACGGGCCACATATATATATATTCTGAGGTTCATAAGTAAACAAATATAATAAGCCTAAATTGCGTATCTAGCGGCTAAAAAAAATCAAATAACAATGAGTTTTATCCCTAAAATATCGTGTTATGTCCAAAAGGTCTTCTTTTTTTATGTTAATCGGCCGAGTGTTCTTTCTACAAAAAATAGAAGCTCGATCGGTGTAGCTATTTTCGGATTTTAATTGGTCACCGTTGATTTCGTTCGTCATGGTATACAAAAATCATATATGTAAAACTATGATTTACGAAATCTTCAAGTGAGTATAGATCCATATTTGGGAAAGACAAAGATGATGCCAATTACAATAATATATTTATAATCTTAAAGGTAATTTCATATTTTTAACTTTTTATTAAAAATTTTATTTTGAACTCACACGATTTGGTTTTCTGATAAAAATTGCTTGTTGAGTCAATTAGCTTCAAATGTTTTATGAATGGATTGATGTCAGATCTAAAGTACCATGTTTTTTTTTTCACAAACTAATTGATATTTTTTTTTTATGTTGGTATTCTGAACTTTTGGTCCGAGTCGGCAAATGTATCCGAGCACTGAATGATATTCGAAGGCTGAGGGTGAAGTTCCAACGGGGATCGCCTCTAGCCCCCGCTGCAGTCTCTAAGGGCACCCGCATCGGTGCTG